TGTAACCGAAGTTCGCAAGTTTCCCCGCCGCGTTTGCTATCCAATCGCTACCGTGAACAGTCGAGTTACAGCCCTCATCCAACACGGCGTATACGTGCTTATCCTCGTAGATATTTACTACGGGCAAATCAACCAAAGCCGGATGGATATCTGTGACCCCCTCAGTGAAAGCCACGAAGGCGTGCCTCGTCGCGGAGGCCCTCGAGGAGCGCGATCTCGCCGACGCCACTTCCCAACTGTTGTTGGTCGATGGCGCAGAGTGATCGTCTAAGGCCTCTTGCAGGTATGCGAGAAGGTCACCGCGGGATATCACGGGCTCGGTTACGAAGTGACCCTCTATGGTCTCTTGAAACTGGGCAATAGCCGGGAACTACTACCTCTACGGGGAGGCTATCCCCCGTGCTGCCGACTATGCTGCGCAGAAGATCGAAGTCCAGGGTGTTGGACTCCCGCAGCACTGTGGCTGCGTCATCCCTAGCCTTTCGCTCGGTCTGCGGCTGCTCATCTAGAAGCATCCCACAAAGCTTGCACTTAATGCGGGAGGTCTTCCTACTGCTACCCGACCTCTCGGTGGAGGTGTGGGGGCATGTGGCCTGATCTATGACAGGCTTCTCTTTCTTCGTCTTGGTGACGGTGCCGCATTTCTTACAGGTCCGCATGTCTATGTATGCGTTACTCCCCGACTTGTTGAACTCCTTGCAACCTCCCCGGCATTTCCGGGGGCCTTCGCTGGACGAAGCAGCTGACGCGGCGAGGCGAACCTCGGGCTGAAAGGGTTCAGGCGGGGGTTCCTGGCTGAGAGGGATATCCCTTCTCGTAATGCTAATGGGGTTATCATCACGCACATCAAAGTACTCCGTGACCCAATCCAAGAAGTCGGCCAAATTTATGGATGGGCACTTCTGCGTGCGTCCCCAAAGAACATACCCAGGATACGTATACAAGACACGCTCATAAGTCAGACCCTTATGCTGACCAAAGGAGAAAACGCGATCGGAACCCTCAGGCGGGCTGTCACGCATGATCCTAGCGGCGGCTGTGCGCCGAAGCTGTGGTGAGAAGAGGGTTTCATTGCCGCGACCTTTGCCGGTATTGGTCTTTGAGGGAGTCAGCTCAAGGTTGGCTGGGTAACCCTCGAGCCTACCAGCGCTCGCATTCGACAGATGGACACACTCTGTGTCATCCTCCTCCACTGCGGCGAAATACGCCTGAGGCTTCGGCGCCGCCGACTTTGCGGCTGCATTGGCAGTTCCCCCAGACTGTGCTGGGGTTGCGGTGCCCTTGGAGCCATTGCCCTTACCGCTAAACTTGCAGGCAGCATCTCCGGCCCAATGGCCGATCACACCGCACTTCAGGCACCTACTCTTTGCCTTAAGCTCTGCTAACTTGGCCTTACGGTCAGCAATGGTCAAATTGCTACGCACGACCTTCCCTCCGGATTTTCCGGGGGACTTGCCCTTGTTCTTCCCCTTTCCTTTTCCTTTCGCCTGGGCAAAGGCGGTCTGTGCCGCGTACGCAAGCTGAACTGACTCGGCATAGGAATCATCCAAATCGTCAATCTCAGCTTCATATGCCACTGCCGTATAGGCGTTGAGTTGCAATGCTAGATCCTCATCATCAATCCATTCATCCGCATCATCTCCCCCAGACGCTGTGGCCTGGTATGCTTCTTCGCCGTAGCCGTCACCGTAGCCTTCCGCGGATTCCTGTTGTTCCTGGTAACCATACTCTGCGGCACTACCATCATACCCCATATAGCCGAACTTAGGGTATTGGGGCTTAGCGTCGAAACGTCTCCAGGTCTTACCTGGGCCACTAGGGTCCTTCTGGGTAAGAAGACGTTCCTTCATGTGCACCACTGAGTGATGCTGAACAAGGACGCGTACGTACTCATCCACGCTGTGTACGCGGGCGGCGGTCTTGACCATTAGCTGCTCGGACCTTTCCAACCCTGAAAGCTCAACAAGGAGATTAGCCCTCATTGCTTCAGAAAGGCGGATATCAGGATCCAGCTCACGCAAGGTCGACCACCACCGCTTTCGGCGGGCTATGTAAGACAACATAGGCTCGCCAGGTTGCTTTGCAAGTGGGCCCGTCAGGAGCTGTCCCTGACGGAAAAGTTCGGACGCCTCTTCGGATTGAAGAGGGAAGGCTTGCCTCCTGATTTCTTCTATCAGGTAGTCGACGCCGTCATGGCGAAGCAGACGTTCCAGGCCGACGTCGCGAGCGATGCAAAAGGCATCTCCTCGGAGACCCTCTAGGATCTTGCTAACGCATTCGCTCATGTCGAGCGACTCGTCCTTGACGTCTCGCAAGGTGTACACCGCCGGATCTGTGTCCGGCTCTTGCTCATCGTCGCCCGCCACTTGGCTGGGGTGCGACGGTAGCGACTCCGCATCCTCATCTTCTGCCTCGGACGCGGGCTTAGTCCGTTTTGCGCTGGACGGACTGGCGGGTATACCGCTGCTCGCATCGCCCTCTGTGGGGGATGCACTGGTCCCTTGACTGGCCCTGCCACGCCACTTCCTTGGTGACTCGCTCTTTGACCTTGCTGACTCGGCAAAACGCAGGTCCTTCAGAGCTTCTCGCCGCTGCTTCTCCTTATGCTGCAGCACACGGATCTGTGTCCGGAAGCACCAATCGTGGAAGCCAGCAGCCGACCCGTCGTATATGTACGAGCCGCTTTTGGTTTCTGCAGGGCTCAGGTTCTGTGACCAGAGATTGGGCTGGTAACGCAAACCTGCCACGCTCATGGCTTCGAGGATAGAAGGGGCCTTTGCGCCGCGACTATCACTACTCTACCCAACGGACCCCGGACCACAGGCTCAACGGGGGTGAAACACTAGTGGTTGTCCTCACAGCTCCGCTACCAGTTTGAAGCAGGAACTGGATTAGTGAGTGTCCAACCACACAAACGAGCACACTTTTTGATCTGAGCCCAAGACGTCTGTCGTACAGGGTGCGTTCAGAACTAACACAAAAACTACGCTCGCATGAGGACATGTCAACACGGCGCTTCAAGACAGGGAAATTTCACACCGCCAGTGTCTGCCCAATCTCCTGCCAGCTTCTGACGGGATCAAAGTGGAGGGCTACAGGTGCTGGCATTCCCGGGAACCATCTTCCTTCTCTCCAAACACCTTCTGGCTACCCCTGCCAGCCCTGTAGCCCCACACCGTCCCGCCGGAAAACACCTTCCACAGGCTCCTGTGCAGCACTTGGCGGGATGGGGCCCGGAAGCTCTCTGAGCTCTCTGTTGCCGTCAATTTCTTGAGCCACACCGGGCTCTGGCTCCCAGGTCGCGGGCGGCGAAGCCTCCTCGCAGGAGGCCAAGTCCAAGGCGTCCAGAATGTCAACGCCCAGCACCAGGAAGGGCGCCAAGGGCCGACGCGCAGCCGGCCACAAAGAGCTCAGGATGGCATGAACTCGACTGTCCATGTTTTCAATGGAGAGGAAACGGCTGCGAAGATGCCTTTCTAGCTGCTGGTCTAACCATTAGCACTGCCTGAGTTTACCAGCGAGCTTTCAGAATTTCACTCCGTGATTTTTAAGCCACTGCCAAACGACGTATCAGTACAGCCTGAGTTCAGTAACGGGTGCTACTGCCAAACAACGTCAACTAGCCCGACATGCTGTGGAATAGTTTGACATGCCCCAAGCCGAAGTCACGGCTACCTTGAGCCGAATGGCTCAACACTCACACCCGTCCGATAGCCCGTCTCGACCTATCCTCCAATAGCACGGCTGGCATCTCAACGTCCTCAAAGAAAGCAGCATGCATCATCGGCCAAAGAGGCACGTCATGTTTTCTCTCCTTTGCAAAGATTGCATTCGACAGGGCAGAGGGCACATTGACCCATGGCCCTTCACGGCTCAGGACGCCATTCACGATCCTTCGGGGGTCGCAAACTCTTGCTGCAAATCTGTTGGAGTTCAGAGCACAGTGAACCCTCCAAGTCCCTCCAAATCTGTCCCGATATTGCCGATCCAGCAAGTCGATTGCAGCGCCCGCGATGACAGCGGCAGCGCTGTGAAACATCCTGGGCTCAGAGGTGTCAGAAGGCACACCTCGGGCCGTCGCAAGCTTTGCCAAGGAGCGATGCTCCTGCGCCGGCCTAGGAAGGCCGTGAGAAGCCAGCAGAAAGCCACTTTGACACAAGCTTCTCCCTCCTTTTAGGCCCTGGCCACCTGTGCCAAAACGAAGCCCGGAGGGGCGCCGGTCGCGCCAAGGGCCTGATCCATTGCCTTCCGGGATTTCGAGAAGTCGAGCTGCGTTCCACACTCACCATCAAAGCTGCAGACAAGCTGCCGCACCCGCAAAGTTTAACAGCAAAAAGAATGGGATGGTCTCCGCCAGTGTCTGCCCAATCTCCTGCCAGCTTCTGACGGGATCAAAGTGGAGGGCTACAGGTGCTGGCATTCCCGGGAACCATCTTCCTTCTCTCCAAACACCTTCTGGCTACCCCTGCCAGCCCTGTAGCCCCACACCGTCCCGCCGGAAAACACCTTCCACAGGCTCCTGTGCAGCACTTGGCGGGATGGGGCCCGGAAGCTCTCTGAGCTCTCTGTTGCCGTCAATTTCTTGACACCGGGCTCTGGCTCCCAGGTCGCGGGCGGCGAAGCCTCCTCGCAGGAGGCCAAGTCCAAGGCGTCCAGAATGTCAACGCCCAGCACCAGGAAGGGCGCCAAGGGCCGACGCGCAGCCGGCCACAAAGAGCTCAGGATGGCCTGAACTCGACTGTCCATCTCGCTGAAGGAAGCAGCTTTAAAAGATGCCTTCTAGCTGCTGGTCTAACCATTAGCACTGCCTGAGTTTAGCAGCGAGCTTTCAGAATTTCACTCCGTGATTTTTAAGCCACTGCCAAACGACGTATCAGTACAGCCTGAGTTCAGTAACGGGTGCTACTGCCAAACAACGTCAACTAGCCCGACATGCTGTGGAATAGTTTGACATGCCCCAAGCCGAAGTCACGGCTACCTTGAGCCGAATGGCTCAACACTCACACCCGTCCGATAGCCCGTCTCGACCTATCCTCCAATAGCACGGCTGGCATCTCAACGTCCTCAAAGAAAGCAGCATGCATCATCGGCCAAAGAGGCACGTCATGTTTTCTCTCCTTTGCAAAGATTGCATTCGACAGGGCAGAGGGCACATTGACCCATGGCCCTTCACGGCTCAGGACGCCATTCACGATCCTTCGGGGGTCGCAAACTCTTGCTGCAAATCTGTTGGAGTTCAGAGCACAGTGAACCCTCCAAGTCCCTCCAAATCTGTCCCGATATTGCCGATCCAGCAAGTCGATTGCAGCGCCCGCGATGACAGCGGCAGCGCTGTGAAACATCCTGGGCTCAGAGGTGTCAGAAGGCACACCTCGGGCCGTCGCAAGCTTTGCCAAGGAGCGATGCTCCTGCGCCGGCCTAGGAAGGCCGTGAGAAGCCAGCAGAAAGCCACTTTGACACAAGCTTCTCCCTCCTTTTAGGCCCTGGCCACCTGTGCCAAAACAAAGCCCGGAGGGGCGCCGGTCGCGCCAAGGGCCTGATCCATTGCCTTCCGGGATTTCGAGAAGTCGAGCTGCGTTCCACACTCACCATCAAAGCTGCAGACAAGCTGCCGCACCCGCAAAGTTTAACAGCAAAAAGAATGGGATGGTCTCCGCCAGTGTCTGCCCAATCTCCTGCCAGCTTCTGACGGGATCAAAGTGGAGGGCTACAGGTGCTGGCATTCCCGGGAACCATCTTCCTTCTCTCCAAACACCTTCTGGCTACCCCTGCCAGCCCTGTAGCCCCACACCGTCCCGCCGGAAAACACCTTCCACAGGCTCCTGTGCAGCACTTGGCGGGATGGGGCCCGGAAGCTCTCTGAGCTCTCTGTTGCCGTCAATTTCTTGAGCCACACCGGGCTCTGGCTCCCAGGTCGCGGGCGGCGAAGCCTCCTCGCAGGAGGCCAAGTCCAAGGCGTCCAGAATGTCAACGCCCAGCACCAGGAAGGGCGCCAAGGGCCGACGCGCAGCCGGCCACAAAGAGCTCAGGATGGCATGAACTCGACTGTCCATGTTTTCAATGGAGAGGAAACGGCTGCGAAGATGCCTTTCTAGCTGCTGGTCTAACCATTAGCACTGCCTGAGTTTAGCAGCGAGCTTTCAGAATTTCACTCCGTGATTTTTAAGCCACTGCCAAACGACGTATCAGTACAGCCTGAGTTCAGTAACGGGTGCTACTGCCAAACAACGTCAACTAGCCCGACATGCTGTGGAATAGTTTGACATGCCCCAAGCCGAAGTCACGGCTACCTTGAGCCGAATGGCTCAACACTCACACCCGTCCGATAGCCCGTCTCGACCTATCCTCCAATAGCACGGCTGGCATCTCAACGTCCTCAAAGAAAGCAGCATGCATCATCGGCCAAAGAGGCACGTCATGTTTTCTCTCCTTTGCAAAGATTGCATTCGACAGGGCAGAGGGCACATTGACCCATGGCCCTTCACGGCTCAGGACGCCATTCACGATCCTTCGGGGGTCGCAAACTCTTGCTGCAAATCTGTTGGAGTTCAGAGCACAGTGAACCCTCCAAGTCCCTCCAAATCTGTCCCGATATTGCCGATCCAGCAAGTCGATTGCAGCGCCCGCGATGACAGCGGCAGCGCTGTGAAACATCCTGGGCTCAGAGGTGTCAGAAGGCACACCTCGGGCCGTCGCAAGCTTTGCCAAGGAGCGATGCTCCTGCGCCGGCCTAGGAAGGCCGCGAGAAGCCAGCAGAAAGCCACTTTGACACAAGCTTCTCCCTCCTTTTAGGCCCTGGCCACCTGTGCCAAAACAAAGCCCGGAGGGGCGCCGGTCGCGCCAAGGGCCTGATCCATTGCCTTCCGGGATTTCGAGAAGTCGAGCTGCGTTCCACACTCACCATCAAAGCTGCAGACAAGCTGCCGCACCCGCAAAGTTTAACAGCAAAAAGAATGGGATGGTCTCCGCCAGTGTCTGCCCAATCTCCTGCCAGCTTCTGACGGGATCAAAGTGGAGGGCTACAGGTGCTGGCATTCCCGGGAACCATCTTCCTTCTCTCCAAACACCTTCTGGCTACCCCTGCCAGCCCTGTAGCCCCACACCGTCCCGCCGGAAAACACCTTCCACAGGCTCCTGTGCAGCACTTGGCGGGATGGGGCCCGGAAGCTCTCTGAGCTCTCTGTTGCCGTCAATTTCTTGAGCCACACCGGGCTCTGGCTCCCAGGTCGCGGGCGGCGAAGCCTCCTCGCAGGAGGCCAAGTCCAAGGCGTCCAGAATGTCAACGCCCAGCACCAGGAAGGGCGCCAAGGGCCGACGCGCAGCCGGCCACAAAGAGCTCAGGATGGCATGAACTCGACTGTCCATGTTTTCAATGGAGAGGAAACGGCTGCGAAGATGCCTTTCTAGCTGCTGGTCTAACCATTAGCACTGCCTGAGTTTAGCAGCGAGCTTTCAGAATTTCACTCCGTGATTTTTAAGCCACTGCCAAACGACGTATCAGTACAGATGCGCATACAGCCTGAGTTCAGTAACGGGTGCTACTGCCAAACAACGTCAACTAGCCCGACATGCTGTGGAATAGTTTGACATGCCCCAAGCCGAAGTCACGGCTACCTTGAGCCGAATGGCTCAACACTCACACCCGTCCGATAGCCCGTCTCGACCTATCCTCCAATAGCACGGCTGGCATCTCAACGTCCTCAAAGAAAGCAGCATGCATCATCGGCCAAAGAGGCACGTCATGTTTTCTCTCCTTTGCAAAGATTGCATTCGACAGGGCAGAGGGCACATTGACCCATGGCCCTTCACGGCTCAGGACGCCATTCACGATCCTTCGGGGGTCGCAAACTCTTGCTGCAAATCTGTTGGAGTTCAGAGCACAGTGAACCCTCCAAGTCCCTCCAAATCTGTCCCGATATTGCCGATCCAGCAAGTCGATTGCAGCGCCCGCGATGACAGCGGCAGCGCTGTGAAACATCCTGGGCTCAGAGGTGTCAGAAGGCACACCTCGGGCCGTCGCAAGCTTTGCCAAGGAGCGATGCTCCTGCGCCGGCCTAGGAAGGCCGTGAGAAGCCAGCAGAAAGCCACTTTGACACAAGCTTCTCCCTCCTTTTAGGCCCTGGCCACCTGTGCCAAAACGAAGCCCGGAGGGGCGCCGGTCGCGCCAAGGGCCTGATCCATTGCCTTCCGGGATTTCGAGAAGTCGAGCTGCGTTCCACACTCACCATCAAAGCTGCAGACAAGCTGCCACACCCGCAAAGTTTAACAGCAAAAAGAATGGGATGGTCTCCGCCAGTGTCTGCCCAATCTCCTGCCAGCTTCTGACGGGATCAAAGTGGAGGGCTACAGGTGCTGGCATTCCCGGGAACCATCTTCCTTCTCTCCAAACACCTTCTGGCTACCCCTGCCAGCCCTGTAGCCCCACACCGTCCCGCCGGAAAACACCTTCCACAGGCTCCTGTGCAGCACTTGGCGGGATGGGGCCCGGAAGCTCTCTGAGCTCTCTGTTGCCGTCAATTTCTTGAGCCACACCGGGCTCTGGCTCCCAGGTCGCGGCGGCGAAGCCTCCTCGCAGGAGGCCAAGTCCAAGGCGTCCAGAATGTCAACGCCCAGCACCAGGAAGGGCGCCAAGGGCCGACGCGCAGCCGGCCACAAAGAGCTCAGGATGGCATGAACTCGACTGTCCATGTTTTCAATGGAGAGGAAACGGCTGCGAAGATGCCTTTCTAGCTGCTGGTCTAACCATTAGCACTGCCTGAGTTTACCAGCGAGCTTTCAGAATTTCACTCCGTGATTTTGCCACTGCCAAACAACGTATCAGTACTGCCTGAGTTCAGTAACGGGTGCCACTGCCAAACAACGTCAACTAGCCCGACATGCTGTGGAATAGTTTGACATGCCCCAAGCCGAAGTCACGGCTACCTTGAGCCGAATGGCTCAACACTCACACCCGTCCGATAGCCCGTCTCGACCTATCCTCCAATAGCACGGCTGGCATCTCAACGTCCTCAAAGAAAGCAGCATGCATCATCGGCCAAAGAGGCACGTCATGTTTTCTCTCCTTTGCAAAGATTGCATTCGACAGGGCAGAGGGCACATTGACCCATGGCCCTTCACGGCTCAGGACGCCATTCACGATCCTTCGGGGGTCGCAAACTCTTGCTGCAAATCTGTTGGAGTTCAGAGCACAGTGAACCCTCCAAGTCCCTCCAAATCTGTCCCGATATTGCCGATCCAGCAAGTCGATTGCAGCGCCCGCGATGACAGCGGCAGCGCTGTGAAACATCCTGGGCTCAGAGGTGTCAGAAGGCACACCTCGGGCCGTCGCAAGCTTTGCCAAGGAGCGATGCTCCTGCGCCGGCCTAGGAAGGCCGTGAGAAGCCAGCAGAAAGCCACTTTGACACAAGCTTCTCCCTCCTTTTAGGCCCTGGCCACCTGTGCCAAAACAAAGCCCGGAGGGGCGCCGGTCGCGCCAAGGGCCTGATCCATTGCCTTCCGGGATTTCGAGAAGTCGAGCTGCGTTCCACACTCACCATCAAAGCTGCAGACAAGCTGCCACACCCGCAAAGTTTAACAGCAAAAAGAATGGGATGGTCTCCGCCAGTGTCTGCCCAATCTCCTGCCAGCTTCTGACGGGATCAAAGTGGAGGGCTACAGGTGCTGGCATTCCCGGGAACCATCTTCCTTCTCTCCAAACACCTTCTGGCTACCCCTGCCAGCCCTGTAGCCCCACACCGTCCCGCCGGAAAACACCTTCCACAGGCTCCTGTGCAGCACTTGGCGGGATGGGGCCCGGAAGCTCTCTGAGCTCTCTGTTGCCGTCAATTTCTTGAGCCGCACCGGGCTCTGGCTCCCAGGTCGCGGGCGGCGAAGCCTCCTCGCAGGAGGCCAAGTCCAAGGCGTCCAGAATGTCAACGCCCAGCACCAGGAAGGGCGCCAAGGGCCGACGCGCAGCCGGCCACAAAGAGCTCAGGATGGCCTGAACAGCCTGAGTTCAGTAACGGGTGCTACTGCCAAACAACGTCAACTAGCCCGACATGCTGTGGAATAGTTTGACATGCCCCAAGCCGAAGTCACGGCTACCTTGAGCCGAATGGCTCAACACTCACACCCGTTCGATAGCCCGTCTCGACCTATCCTCCAATAGCACGGCTGGCATCTCAACGTCCTCAAAGGGAAAGCAGATGAATCATCGGCCAAAGCGGGAACGTCAGAGTTTTTCTCTCCTTTGAAAAGAGCATTGACAGAGGCAGAGGGAACAATTGACCCCTGGCCCTTCCCGGTCAGGAACGCCATTCCAACGATCCTTCGGGGGGTCGCAAACTCTTGCTGCAACATTCTGTGGAGTTCAGAGCACAGTCGAACCCTCAGAAGGCCCTCCAAATCTGTTCCCGATATTGCCGAGCAGGCACAGTCGATTGCAGCAGCCAGCGGGATGACCGCCGGCAGCCGTGTCAAACATCCTGGGCTCAGAGGTGTCAGAAGGCACACCTCGGGCCGTCGCGAGCTTTGCCAAGGAGCGATGCTCCTGCGCCGGCCTAGGAAGGCTGCGAGAAGCCAACAGAAAGCCACTTTGACAGAAGCTTCTCCCTCCTTAGGCCCTGGCCACCTGTGCCAGAACAAAGCCCGGAGGGGCGCCGGTCGCGCCAAGTGCGTGATCCAGTGCCTTCCGCGAATCCGAAAAGTCGAGCTGCGTTCCGCACTCACCATCAAAGCTACAGACAAGCTGCGACACACGCGTAGTTTGCCAGCAGCAGAAATGGGACGGTGTAGTCGTGAAGACCCAAGGTCCGCCCAAACTCCTGCCAGCTTCTGACGGGATCAAAGTGGAGGGCTACAGGTGCTGGCATTCCCGGGA